TATATATATATATATATATATATATATATATATATATATATATATATATATATATATAAATAAATAAAACTTAGGTTGTATGAACAAGATCTCACAAGAGTGAAACTATTTAAATGTCTTGAAATCTGGTTTGATAAGAGAATAATATGGACAGTACACATTCAAAAAGTTATTGATAAAGATAAAAAACAATGAGGTGTTCAACAGGAAGACACTGAGGACCATTTACACAGGATTAATCAGATCAATATTAGTTGATGAAAATGTTGTTTATAATTAAGCTTCAAATACATATTTAGAAAAGTTATATGACATTCACTGTCAGGCATTGAGAATTATTACAACACCCACAGGATCGATATTAGTAGAAATAGAAGAACCACCATTAAAATCAGAAGAGATCAGTTATCTTTAAACTACTGGACAAAACTAAAAGGTCATGATCAGAAACATCCAACACAGGAGGTATTAAAACCATGCTGGAAAGAAGACAAAAAATGTGCAAAAAGCTTTTACTGGATCATAAATCAGAAAACTATAAGTCAAATAGATAATATTAATGTCAGCCCAACAGTACCACTACCAATCCATGCATGCACTGATACTCACACACCCAAAAGTAGATCTAAAATTATTAGGCAACAAAGAAAAAAAATTAAACTCAAATGCAGTTATAGAAAGCATTATCAATATTATGGATATGTAAAAAATACATGTATCCAAGGAAACAGCAGATCTGGTCAGGGCAGCATTCATTCTTCCTGGGTTTGGAGTGACAGTAAGGAGGAAAATCCATCCAGCCATTATCTTTTACCCGCTTCTTCCTTTTTGGGTCGCGGGGGTCACCGGTGCCCATATCCAGCAATCATTATGCGCTACTGAGCGGATTGAAGATAATAAACCACTCAGATCAATAGTTTGATCCAGTTAATCTTTAATCAATTAAATAAATAGTTTTTCAGAAAATAGACCAGACATATTGACGGTAATACAACAGACACTGTGCTGAATTAAAATGATAGGTTTAATCATTATGTTTGTATGGGTACCAGCTCATATTAGAATAAGAGGAAATTAAAATAGTAGAAAGAGTTGCAAAAGACACTACCGGAAACATATCAGTTGAAAGAGATTTAAAATTCAGTCGAGCAGAAGCAAAAAGCATTTCAAAACAAAATGAAGGAAAGATAAAACAACGGAAAGAAGAAAGGAAAGGTCTATGGTTTTATTGAATTCAACGAAAGCAGGAGAAAAGAGGAGTGCTGGAAAAAAACAGGATGGATGAAACGATTATATTATTTCTTAGATTTGGACACACAGGATTAAACAAAACATTATTCATAACAGGAAAACATAATACAGGTAAATGTGTGGATGTAGAACATGTTTTATTGCAGTCAGAAATACAGATGTGAAAGAATTAAACTGATTAATAGTCTCACTAAAATGAAAGTAAGGCTAGGTATATTGAATTGTTACAGGGGAATCCAAAATCTGACAGAACTAAAATTTTATTACGATACCTGAAACAGACTCGTTTGTTTGAAAGCTTTTACTCACTTTCTTTAAGCGTCATTCCAGTTCCAACTCCTAACCAGCAGGTGGCGGTATGACACCAAATTATCGTCTACAAATAAAAACCAAGAAGAAGAAAAGGAACGCTAAATAAATAAATAAATACAATAAAGTTTGTACAACGAGTAAGATTTTCTTGTTTTTAAGATACAAGAACCAATCCTAATCTAAAATACGCACATTTTCATTCATGTAAAGAACATTATTATAAAATGTGCTGACCTTTTTTTTTCCCGTGATGACGTTTCATGACGTCCTCGAACCGTTTCCGGGTTAGCTTGTTTCTTACTTTGCTCGTGTGCGTGTTGGACTTGTGTAGCCTAAAAAGTATAAAACATAAAAAAAAAGTAGGATGAGTTCTCAAAAAGGAAATGTATCCAGATCACGAGGACAGAAGTATCAAAACGCAACTGCCTTCAAAAACGACAAATACGGAGCTACTGTTCAAGTAAAGGTGTGTAAGCTAAGCTCTCACAAACAAGTAGTATGTGTAGTGTACTGTGTTAGTACTGTTTATTAGTGTAGCTTCTGCTTTACTGTATTGACTGTTTACCTACTTGCAAATCCATACTATGGATGATACATTTACTTTCACAATAAACATTTTGTTTTGACATTTCTTGTTCTACTTGCTTATTACTATAAAAAGAATTCCCCATTGCCTCTGCTTGTCCTAACCACAGAAAGCAAAATCAAAGGTCCACGATGGGCTTTGTCAACACTGTAAAGGAGTTATTGAGTGGAAAGTCAAGTATAATAAATATAAACCCTTAGCACAGCCCAAAAAATGGTGAGTACGATTTGTTACTTGTTCATACCATTAGTATGATTACCCCTCATGTCTTATGATCTGGCATATTGGATGCATTTGTCTGATCTTTTTGCACAACAATAAAATACACCGTACTTTAAAATAAAAGCAAGAGTGCTTTTTACTGTGAGTAGCTATGATTGGTACTTTATTAACTTGAACGTTAAATACAAAACAAACTAAAAACTTAATGTTTTTATTTGAATGTTCCTCATAATTATTGATGTGTTTTCTTTCTGCAGTGTAAAGTGCTCTCAAAAGACAGTAAAAGATGCATACCACATAGTCTGTAAGCCCTGTTCGCTTCAGCTGGAGCTCTGCTGCAAGTGTGGGAAGAAAGAGGACGTTGTTGTTTCGTAAGTGGAAAGTTTCTCGAGTTTTATGTTGAATTTTCTGCTTACTTTTACAAAACTCATCTATATTTAAGGATATTATTTGTATGGAATCACAGAGCCAAATAACTAAGCATTTTTTGTACACCTGTTAAATGACATAAAGATAATGTCTGACTTTCTTCATTTGCAAATGCAAAACTTTTAGGAAATTCTTACCTCATCCTACCATCTTGTGGACAAAAAGTTACATTGCAAGATATTTAAACTGATTCAATTTTCTATTTTTGTACTGCATCCTGAAAAAAACGACATTACATATCTATATGTATATACTAATCATTACACCATATATATGATTAACATAAGTACAAGTATATACAAGTTATATATATATAAGTTGTATCCTTGAGGAGTGGTGGCGCAGAGGTTAGAGAAGATGGGCCTGTGATCGGAAAGTCGCAGGTTCAACTCCCCAGACTGACAACCTTAAATGTGGGTGGAAAAGATGAAACACCCACACCTGCCTCCACCCTCATTTGACCCACTCTGGGCCTTTGAGCAAGGCCTTTAACCCCCATCATCTGCTCCCATACAAGTCACTCATCTCAGCTGGGGACTTTTCTGCGTGGAGTTTGCATGTTTCTCTGTGCATGCGTGGGTTTTCTCTGGGTACTCCGGTTTCCTCCCACATGCAAAAAAAATGCATGTTAGCCTGATTGGTAACTCTAAATTGTCCCCAGGTGTGAGTGAGAGAGTGAATGATTGTTTGTCTCTATGTGGTTCTGTGATGGACTTGGGCCTATCCACGGTGTACCCAGCTTCTTGCACTGTGACAGCTTGACATGGGCACCAGTGACCCCAACATCATTCATTCAGACTTGTTCTGTCTCAGATTGGTGCTAAATGCTGATAAAACCAAAGGGATGTTGTTTTCAAACATGAGGTTGATGCCAGCAGTCCTTTCTTATATCTTATCTACAAATGGTGTTCCTATTTTTTTTTTTTTTAGCTCAGTTTAAGTGTAGAAACATTGTGAAGTGTTTCAATGAACTTATCATCATCGCTCAATTTTTTTTTTAAAGAAAGAGAAGAAAGAAGAAAAAATAAATAGATAAAAGAGACATAGATAAAACGAGAGACCACCACGACAAAACAACATGCACAGCACAATGCCACCCACAATATCACCATGAAACATTCGACATGGCACAAGGAATCATCTAGCTTCCACCACTACCCAACCTAGCGTGCATCTGTCAAAGCACCTGAATCCAAACACCCGCGCAAGCACGCCCGCCACCACCAGATTTCTCCAAAAGAATGCCCAATAGTGGACGCGGGGGCCCACAGACCCGCCCCCCCAGGACACAATGGCAACATAGGGAGGACCGGAGCCACAGACACACAGCGGCCCACAGGCCCGGAGCCCCAGGAGTCTCCCAACAGGGAGAACCGCTCCCCCCCAGAGAGGAGCAGAGGAAAGAACCGGGTGACCCCAGCCACCACAATGCAGAGCCTCCAGGAAGCTGCAGCGACGAGCCCACAGGTCCGGCCAGCAACCCATGCCCCCCCCCCCCCAAGTAGATCCGGCCATGGACACCAAGCCCCGAGGCCATACCGCCCCCCAGCAGAGCCCCGACAGAGCCAGGGCACCCAGGCCCCGCCAGGCAGCAACCAGGGCGGACCGACGTACACCCCACCACCCAGCCCAGACGCCGAGAGCCACCAATGCACCGGCGGCAAGGGGGCCCCCCGCCAAAGGGGGGCACGACCAGGGGTGTGGGCCCCACACCAAACGCGGGGCCCAAATTGATCTAAGAGAGGGGGGACCACCAAAAACCCAACCTGAGCAACCAACAGGCACACACAGAAAGCCCAACAGAATCTCTGTCGGGCCGACCGCATGCACCATCTACCTGACAGCGACCACAGGCCGGCCCCAGCCCAAGGGGCAGAGCAGCAGGGAGCTGCAGCTGAGGAGGGCCGGCTCTCACATCAAGAGCCCCGCACCATAGGCCCAGAGACGCCCCAGCACGCCACCTACGCACCCCCCCACACACACAGCACCCCCACCGCAAATGCCACACAGGAAGACCAGCCAGTGCCCTACTATCTACAAATGGTGTTCCTATTGTTTGTTGATTCTTACAAATACTTGGGAATCTTGGTTGATATTATTATTACAGTGACATTATTTACATTAATGCTCCTGCAAGCACCTTGCAGATGTTGGATGTTGTCTACCACGGCGGGCTAAGATTCATAACTGACTATAACTACCATACCCATCACTGCACCCTGTATTCATTGGTCAACTGGTCATCATTAACTTCATCGTTAGATTGATGGATAGATGGGTGGGTGCTAGGTAGGTAGGACGGTTGGTCGGTCGGTCGATCCCTCCTTTCTTTCTTTCTTACTTTTTCCTTCTTTCTTTCATTCTTACTTTTTCTTTCTTTCTTTCCGGGTCATGACAGTCACTGGTGCCCTTATCACTGGTGGATAAAATTGCTCCCTCTACTCACCTCTATTCTTTTACAACAGGTAACTCCTATCTACCGTACTTGATAATCTTGCACCAAAAACATTGAGGTTTACTTCAAGATTATTTGTCATTCCACCACATGAGGTACATGTGGGTGGAATGAAATTGTGTAAACAGGGTTCCAGTTACATCCAACAAAAGTATTAAAATGTAAAAGAAAAACAGTAATAAGATTTAAGATATGAACTAAGAACAACGTTAATAAAAATACACTAAGCTAGTAGCACAAAAACAATACGCCAAACAGCAGCATGAACATGAGTCTGTCTGAGCAGATGAGTACGAATGAACACAGCAACATGAAATAGATCAGCAGCAACATTAAGGATGTGCGTTAGGGGATAAAATTCATATCACAATATGTATTGTGATGGGTGGCAGTCACGATATATATCACAATATGTTTTTTGTGTAAAACTTGCAATAAGGTGTGGGGGAAAAAAAGCATAGGGTGTCTTTTTGCCATAATTTATTTTGAAAACTACTATACCACAAAATAATCTCAGTTAAGAAAATTCCACTACTAGGTCCATAGAGTTTGTAAATAATTAACAAATCAAGTATTAGGCTTCTTTCTTGTAGTGCAAAACAGTGCAAAAATTATCAAATGTAGTTTTAGCCATTTGTTTTAAACAAAAGTATATGTCGTTAACTCTTAACAGTTTCCATTATTCTCACTTAAGAAATGAACAGCAACAGAGCAGCATTTTACACTGAAAACACTTCACCCTCCAACCCTCTAGTGGGCATCTCCTTCCGCTTTAAGGAGAGCTGACACAAAATGGCGACCAGTTTCCTTTGTGGCTTTAAACAGACGGTCTCGCAGTAAAATCACACAACGCAAGGTTATTTTCACATATCAGAGAGCAGGTTTAACCTTTTTTTTTTTTTTTTTAGCTCAAATGCACTCTCTAAAGCTTAACAACAAACTTTCGACGGGGAAAAATTAAACTTTTGACGGAACACAGTGTTTTGTGCATGCATCCGAATACGAGTATGGCAAGCCGGCCGTAGTTAGCTTGTAGCTTCGCTACTTAGCTCTCGAAGAGAGGACTTTAACACCATTTACGCACAATTTTCAACTAAAACAATTAATTACTAAATCTGACAACTCTGATTTTACATCAGACACAGCATTACTGTGGTTAGCTGGTAGAATACAGATCTATATCATAGGCTATATGTCTATCGTTTCTACCGTGTGACGTATATATCGTGCATCCCTAAGTAACATGATGTGATTGTTTTCACAGTGATTATCCTGGTTAGAGATTCATGATCAGCCTCAGGGTAGAAGCTGTTACTCAGTCTAGTGGTTCTACACTAATGCTCCTTAAGCCCCCAGTATACTCCCGCGTATGTCCATACGCGGAGGTACACACGTACGTACGCAGAGGTACGAGCGTACCCCCCAGGGCATGTCCGTGCAAAGCTCAATTTTTACAACCACATACGCGTACGCGGTGTCGCACAATAAACTGCCCAGCGACGGACTGTTTTGTATGCGACACCAATGTATTAAATTCCCCTTCTTCGTCCCTGATCTGACCTTTTCTTCTGTATTTTTTTTGCCAAGAGGCAAATAATCTCTTCCTCCTCCGTTGATTTCATGACTGAAATGGTGAGAAATGAAGGAATTTGTCACGAGCGAATTAAACTCAGGTCCAGCATGGCTGCGGGAGGGTCTGGAGATTTCCTGGTGGGCTGGTTTGATGTATGGGCTGCAGAGCTAGCGCTCCCTGTTTTTTTTTTTTTCCTTCTTTTTTTTTTAGATCTTTTTATTAACAACATATAAACACAGAACACCGCTGAGGCTGCCAGCGCTCGTTTTTTTTTTTTTTGGACCTGTCAATCAATCCAGTAGGCGTGTCAGCAAATGACCAAATCGGCGACCTCAATTTGTCCCGAAGGTAAAAAGCCCCTTGTCTGTGAAACTGCTCTGCTGCTGCTCAGGGTGTACGCTCGAGTCTGAACCCTCTGCGTACAGTACACGCGTATGTACGCGTGAACGGACATACGCGGGAGTATACTGGGGGCTTAAACCTCCTTCCTGAGGGGAGTGGGGCAAAAAGTGTGTATGCAGTGTGAGTGGGGTCCTTCATGATGCAGGTGGCTCTCTTCCTACAAAGTTAGTTTTACATTGGACATTCGATCTCCGTGTCTTCAGCGGTCTGCTCCTCTCGCTGAACCCAAAACAGGCAGCTCGACCCCGGCCAGCCGCGCCCAATCCACCCCGCTCACTCTGCCCGTCTCTGACGAGGGGCAGACTGATGTGGGTCATGACCAGTTTTTCGAAGCATTTAGCGACTATCGGGGTGAGGACTATTTGCGTTCCTCCAATCTAGACACACATCTCAAAAACTACAAACATTCACTATTCAGATCCCTCAATGTTGAAGATCATCAACATACTACATTTTATACAGGAATTATTTTATTTCTTTATTAATGTATTAACATGGTGGGGGGGGGGGGGACATTTCCAGACTCCCTTCCACTGCTCTTGCTAAAACTGATACACTCATTAAAACTTTTTTCCAGGGTTAACTCACAATTGGACAAGCAAGAGGAAGAAGAGGAGCCGAGAAAGAAAGGGCACAAACAAGAGGAGGAACGCATAAATGATTTGTACAGTGATGATGACTACGATGATGATGACTGTGCTGCTTCTGAGAACGAGGAAGATCACTAACAGAAACTTGGGCCCAAAAGAAATCTGTCGCATTTCCAGATGTGCCGGTTGTTAATTATTAAATTTGTTTGAAACAAATTTTGTAGTCAAAACGCAGAAGGTAACTTCATGTGATTTGTTGATGTAGCTGATATTTGAAGAGAAATAAAGTCCATAGAAGGACAAACCAAGTCATTTTTTTTTTTGTTTATCCTTAAGTTTCATTTCATCGCTCCACACATCATTATGGAAAGTGCACTTTATTTGCACCAGTATTTCATCATGTTTTATGATTAAAAAGCAACTATAGTAAATGTTAAAACATTTACTATTATAAATACAGAAACATACTCACTCTCAAAGAATAACATCAACCACAAGAAAATGTGTCGGTATATATTTTGTTGCTGACTAACTTGTTAATGTTTCATATTTCAGCATCAACTTAAATTTATAGAACTATAGTTTTAATATGTGCTCACTGTGTTTTGGGCCAGTTGGTAATGAGTGTGATCACACGTCTTAGAACAAAGTGCAAATTGTTTTAATTATCTGTCATGTGATCCTGATCATATCAAACTGTTAAATGTATAAAGTGCGTTTTCCCCATCAGCGTTCTAATTGTGACAAATGCATGTATTAGTCATGGATCTCGTGGGGTTGCCTTTCACTTATTACCCTGATGTGAACTTGGATCACGTTCTAATTCACTCATGACTGAAACCAAAGCAGTCTTACATCTTCTTTAATAAAAGTCAGTTGGACAATTGGGATAAGTATTTCAAAATTTAGTCTTAAAAGTCTTAATATTGGCCATATTTGTTGATTAAATAATGAAGGTATTTTATACAACTCATTGAAACGTAGACAGACCAGTAAATTGAGAGCTTTACTTTTCGATTCAACTCAATCTTCCTCACGACTGACCGAAGCAACAGCCTCATTACTGAGGACGAGGCCTTCCTCCATCCTGCCAAGGCTGGTGAACACGCCTAGATACCTACACTTTCCTGCCAACATTTTAAACTACAATGTCCATGATAAGAAATTAGAATTCAATCTGTTTTGGTCAAACTTAAAACTCGACATTAAGCATGATCTCATGCGAGATGTCAGCGCACAGATTAAGAGTTGTAAATGACTACTACTACCACACCAAATATCTCAATACCTGTAAAACGAAGCTGAACCCACTGATGTGCCTTTTGAAGCTCACATGGCTGCAACAGCCGTCTGAAATCAAGTAGATTCCAGAAGTCAATTGTAGATGTGCAACATCAAGCTTTAATAAAGCCCATCTGGTGTTTTCAGGAGATGTTTTTGTTTTAACATAAAGGCAAAATCATTTCCATTGGAAGCATTTGTAGTGTGTGTGGGGGGCTGGAGGTCCTCCCCCATAAAATTTTGAATAAAGTTGATTCCATTTCCTGCATTCTTGTGTATTTTAATGGATAGTTAATCATTACGTTTATCTACATAAGTAAACGATTCAATAACTATTTTAGAGAGCACAACAAGATGTCTGCGCTAAGTTAGCGGTGTGCAATACAGTCAGATGCTCTAGCTAAGATGGTACTTTCTCACAGATCCTAATGACAACAACTGCTAGCACTAACTTAGCGTTAAGAAAGCGACGGCCAACACCGAGGTGCCTCCCTCCCATCCTGTCCACAACACCCCCAAAGAGATGAGTGCCCTGTCAAGTCCAGTGACTGAGGAGAAACACTGCATGTGGTGTGTTGGTAACCAGGGAAAGTGGACTTTTAGTGGTTTAGGTATTCTGGTCATCATTAACTTCAAGCAGACTCTCACTGGTACATTTTCATCTTTAAATCACTTCTTGGTCTGCTGCCTTCATCTCCTACGTGTCACTGCGTGAGTGCAGCTACAGCGTGCGCTCTCAGCATTATTACCTGCAGTGTTCCCTCAGTGCGGACTGAACTAGACAAACGGGCCTTCTACTCCGTTCCTGTTTCCTGGAATATCTTGCAAAAAGATCTGAAGCTCTCGACATTGACCTCTCTAAGTGGCTTCAAACATCTGCTAAGTTCATGGCAAAAACCAACGACATGTTCCTGTTTTTAGTTTTCTACACAACCTAGCTGTTTTTTTGTTGTTGTTACATTTTTAATACCATTTTATTTTCACTTCTTATTCTCAATTTTTATGCATCTTGTCTATTGTTGTCTTTGTTATCCACTGTTGTCATCACTTTGTTAAAATCTCATTTGAGTCCCCGAGGCTCAATGGGATTAATCTGTATAAATAAAGGTTGAATGAAAAAAAATCTCCTTTTTATCAAGTGGAATGAATTTGTTCATGAAGAACTATAAACAGTGCTGGGTGAACTAATATTTCATGGTAAATGTGTGGGGGGGGGGGTCCCAATTCATATTTTTTTTATATAAGGGGACACGTCCCCTTCACAATCGATGTGATGCTTATGGGCAATATGGGCCATTTTATGCTTCAGCCCGTGTCCTGTCTAGGACATGGTGTGAGAGATCTTTTTTAGACCTTCTCTCCTCATGTTTTCTTCCTCTTTTCTCATCTAAACAAAAGTATTCTGAAAAGAATAAGAGGCCGCGCTCCCGTAGCAGCAGCTACGTGCACTCTGCCCATCTTTGGACGACTACAAACATAGTTTTGTTGTATTTTGGTACAATGACAATAAAGCTTATTCTGATATAATAATATATTAACAATAATATATATTAAGCTCTTTTTTTTTTACCATTAAAGTGCATTTATTAAGGTAAAAGTAAACGGAGACACACCTTTGCTATAATTTAGAGCCAAATTGTTATTACGAGTTAATCTTGTTAAATTCGAAGAACTAAAACAGCAAGTCCTCTCGTGCACGTTCCCACAGTGCCAATCAATTTTTTTCAGTCCATCACTTTTTGTCAAGACACCTGTATCTTCTGAGAAAGTAATCCTCTCAATTTGATCTGCTAAAGTTACCTGAGCTGAACAAAGTTCATGCAACTCTGTCATCCTTCATGACTGTGGGTCTTGTAAGTCACTGCAGTGCAGCAGGAAAACTAATGGATGACAGGAAGGATGAACCAGTGGGTGTGCAGGTCCAACCCTCTTGACAGTTGAAGTCATCCTGCTGAAGAGTCATTATGAAATAAATAAGCCATGAAAAACACAATTATGAAACAAATAAGCCCATTTTTCTTATTTCATAATGCTTCATTTATTTATTTAATTTGAGCATTTCGGTGTTCCATACCAGTGACCCCTGTGACATGAAAAAGGAAGAAGCTGTAAGAATAATGGATGGATGGTCCACCAGAATATAACAACAAGATATTAAACTAGTTTTATTGTTTTAAATACGACAGTATAATTTGATCTTTGAAATAAATAAAGTGATGCGGGGCTGCCTCCTGCAGCTCATCTCATAGATCTGAAGCTGCTGATCTGGGGTCAGTTTTCAAACAAATATATAAATGGCCTCTAATTCTGGCTCATCTTACGAAACTGGAAACGTTTTGGTTTACCCTACTTATGATTCATAATCATGAGAATGAATCAAATATTTGCGCGCACGCACCTTAACTTCTGATTGGCTGCAGCCTCGCGGTCAGGTGAAGGCGCGCCTCCGGGTGGGCGGTGATCAGAGGAATAAAAGCCGCATGCGGCAGGTGGCATCTCCCCGCAGAGTTTGGACTGAGGTGTTGGGAACATGGAGACATCTGAAACGTCCCGCACCTCGTTTGTCTTCAGGGGGACATTTGTCCACTCGACCCCTCAGACAGCGCTGCAGGTCCTGGAGGATGCGCTCCTGGGAGTGGACAACAAGGGCAAGGTGGGTCTCCTTCTCTCAGCTTTTATTATAAACACATTTTTTAATTGTTCTTCTTTTGATAATAGGCATAGATGAAAAACGTGTTTTTTCTAAGTTGAAGAGAGTTCCTTGTTAAATGTCTTTTCAGCTGTTGCTGTGTAATAAACTCAAAAGACAAAGAAAGACACGATCCCAGTTAGTAAGCAGAAATAAATGTTCTTTAGTTTAATTAGACTTTTTTGAGTTTTAAACACCAGTTTAAAAAAAATCAAGCTTGATATGAGTATTTCATAAACAGCAGTGGCAACATTCTGTTTTAACAACTCTCTCTGCAAGAAAAAAAAAATCAGGAAATCTGTAGAATAAATTAAAGACTTGTTCATATAAGAGTTATAATAATAAAAAAGTAATGTCAACATTATAATCAGCATTATAAAATTCCATGTAAGTAAAAAAAAAAAAGTATAGAAAGACGACAAAAAAAAGAAAAAACTAAACATGCTCATCAACTTTTATTTATCATGTGATCATTATTTTTAGGGATTTATTTTGTGACCGCGAGGAGAATAAATAACTCAATCCAATTTTTTAATTCGACAGATAATTTACTATGTGGAGAAAAGAGTTTAGCGGTTTTTAATAAGTTTATGTGAGGGAAGCTTGTTCAGACTGAAACTCTTAAACTTAATCATTAAACAAGTTCTTGGTATCAAAACTTATTGCTGCTGTAAATGTGCTCAGCCATGATACTGCTCTTGTAATACAGTATTTGCAACTCGGCTGTTTTCCTCTGCCTTCAGATTGCTTTCATTGGAGAAGGCAAGGAGCTGCAGAAATGGTCTCAGACGTTTGGGTTCAGCCCGTCTGAAGTGACTCAGCTGGACCAACAGTGAGTAAATGACTCCAGCAGGTTAGGTCTTTATACGGATCAGCTCAGGCGGGTTTTCCTTAAAAGCAAAGCATATGTTCAAGCTATATTTTCTGGCTTGCTGTTCTGCAGTGAGTTCTTCATGCCAGGGCTGGTGGACACCCACATCCATGCCTCCCAGTACAGCTACTGTGGCACAGCACTGGACATGCCTTTACTGCAGTGGCTCAACACCTACACCTTCCCTGTGGAGTCACGCTTCAAGGACTTAAAGTTCGCCCAGGAGGTCTACACCAAAGTGGTGGTGAGATCAGCGAGCACTCTCATAATAAAAAGGATTAACAATCCACATTTAAAGTTTACAAAACTGCTTTGTGTGTTGAAAAGTGCAAGTTGTCACACCAAGAGCAAACCATAAAATGACATAAAATGTTTAAATTAACTGTGAATTCTGTAACAAAGATCGGTTTTGGTTTACAGAGAAGAACCCTGAGAAATGGAACGACCACCGCCTGCTACTTTGCCACCATCCACACCGACGCTTCTCTCCTGCTGGCTCGGATTGCACGTAAGATGTCTCGCACGTGCACCTAAAAGTGAATCTGCAATTCCAGCCCTGGCCTTCATCAGCCTTTTCTGTCAGCTACTAAGTGAGGTTAAGCAACTGAAGTGCGTTAGATTTAAAAAATATATATATTATTTACAGGTATGTAAATGTGATTTGAAGGTCACGCATGTTTCTCCTCATACTGTATCACTGCAACACCTTTTGTCAGATGCTTTCAGCTAAAGTTGAGGAAAACAAAGATCAGTGTCCCCCTTTTTTGTGAGTTTTTCGTTTAGTAACTTTGCTGAACAAGAACATGAAGAAACCTTAAAACTGTAATATCTTTATATATATATATGTATATATATATATATATATATAATGCTCCTGACGTCTTGAAGCTGTTCTTGTCACAGATGAAAATGAGATGATCCTCACATGCTCCGTCTGAGCGAGCTGAGGAAAACATCTGATTAATCACACATATTTCAGCTCGTCGTCCACAGCTCTTCCTCTCCTCTGAGCAGAGCGGTCCTTTACCTTTATGCCTCGTCCTTATCATCCCACTGTCACGTTGCATAACGAGCTGAACATGCGCTCACATAAACGTGTAGCGGTGCAAACAGGCCAGATCAAACACTGGGTTTGGCAGCTTCCTGCGATCATTTTATGTAACCGAGGTCAGTCGTTGAACCCTCACCTTTGCTCCGTTCTGTTACTGTTACACGTAAGCGTAGTGAGCTTCAGTATTTTCCAAACACTTAGTTTTCTGATTAGTTTAGCGTAAAATAAAATCTTCATGTCCATTATTTGTTCACGTAGGAGCATTGTAAAAGGATTTGATCAATAGGATTTGCTGTTTTCCATGACACTGAATGTTTGGTCTCATTATATCAACCCTGCACACATAAACCTGGACTGACCTGCTCCTGTTTGCTCCGTCATGCTTACCTTGTTGAGCACAGCCTGATTATTTAGAGTTCCTTCATCCCAGGTGGTCAGAACAGGAGCACACGAGACAGATCTCTGCCTAATTGTCTGTTATTTGTAGCATCTCAGTAAGCAACAAGTCAGAATTGTCTCATTAGAATGAAGTGTTTGAGATGTTATCAATCTTTTTTTACCTGTTGAGAATAATTCATTATTTGCTGCAAAAAAATAATGAATTTGTTGATGTTGACAAATTGGCAGATGTTCGAAGCCACAGAGAGGTCAAATTGCTTCACACACGCTTACTAACGTAATGAAGGCGGCACAGCTGAAGAGGATTATTATTTAATATATTAGACATTTGTTTTGTACAGTTACAGATGTTTGTTAATAAATGTGCCTGTGTGACAATTGGGACAAAGCTTTGACTCAGGAATATATTTTTGTTATTACTTTATGGAAAGAAAAGAATATCGAGATATATATCGTATATCGCGATTTATCTTAAAAATATTGAGATATTAATTTTGGTCCATATCGCTGTTATAATGGGGGCTGATGCGGGCCCTGAGCTACTGCAAGTAGCTGTGGTCCTCAGGCCTCATCTCAGACCCCAGGCCCCGCCTCCAGCCTACGCCTATGACCTTATTGTGTTTTGGGGACAGTTTTTGAGCTTGATAATATGAAAAGTTAAAAAATATATATGCTGCTTCTGAACTGCTTGAATGATCTCATGCATGTGTTGTATCACTGCTTATCTGCATCATTACATATCATATATAAGGGAATTGCTTGATGTCAAACTCAGTTACATAAGAGGCCAAAATAAATTAGGGGCCAGTTTCAGTCGATGCCCACCATCTTTTCTTGGTTGCATGCAGATTGGTCTCATTTGACGTTCTCTGTTGCTCTTTCCGCATCAGAAATCGAAGATTACTGAAAAATTAAACCTTTTTTTTTTGTTTCAAAGTTAGTCAGCTGTCATGAGAACTAAATTAAGTATCAGTTCTTTTAAGCAAAATGAAAAAAGTTAAAATATTTTACATTTTAAATCTTATCTTGTGAGGCCAGATAAGTTAACAAGAGCCATATTTAGTTTGTGGGCCTTGAGTTTGACACAAACAGTTCCCTTCTCTCTGTTTCGCTTGTGTCTCCAACAGGAAATGTGTCATTTTGAATCTTACAACATAAAAATTTCATCTTGTAGATTTCTCTAATTTAAAGGATAGATCTCAGCCCTCACAGACACATCATACCTGAGCTAAAACTGCCGTGTGTTGCTAATATTCAGTGTGTTATTCCCATTTGGTCATTTTCAACTCGTTTATGTCTCGTATGTGCAGATGACTTTGGACAGCGTGCGTTAGTGGGGAAGGTGTGCATGGACAGGAACAGCTCTGTCAAACATTACAAAGAAACGTCCCAGGAGTCTGAAGACGAGACACACCGGTGCGTATCAGCTGTTCTCATCGACGTTCACGTGAAAAAACTGATTTGATGTGAAAATTCTTGGCTTTTTGAAGAGCGACACCCAGAAAAAAAAAACAACACACAGAGTGTTTTTTTATGTTTGTTTTTTTTAATCAAATTCAATTCAATTTCAATTCAATTTATTTATATAGCACCAAATCACAACAAAGTTGTCTCAGGGCACTTTACAGGAACATTCACATACATAAAAGCCAATTAGTAAAGTTCTGTATCTAAGGAATCCAGCAGACAAGATGAATCTTGGCTTCGTTGCAGTCTCCCATCCTGAGCAAGCACAGTGGTAACAGTGGAAAGGAAAAACTCCCTTTTAACAGGAAGAAACCTCCAGCAGAACCAGGCTCAGGACAAGCGGCCATCTGCTTTGACCGGCTTGTTGAGAGGACAGGAAGGAGAGACAGACAAACATAGAATGGTAGATCCAGGTGTAGGTCCAGGTGTATCTGGAAGGAAAAAACAAACACACATGTTAAGGATAGAAAAAATAATTACAAATACAAAACAGGTTGAGCAGAGTAAGTAAAGACAGTAGTAGAGTGAAAAGTGTATTCAGTTTGTCCTCCAGCAGTCTAAGCCTATAGCAGCATAACTAAGGGACAGCTCAGGAAACCCAAGCCGAAACTAACTATAGGATTTATCAAAAAGGAACGTCTTAAGCCTAGTTTTAAAACTGGATAATGTGTCAGCCTCACAGACAGAGATTGGAAGTTGGTTCCACAAGAGAGGAGCCTGATAACTCAAAAGATCTGCCTCCCATTCTGTTTTTGTAAATTCTAGGGACCACAAGTAAACCTGCAGTCTGAGAGCGAAGTGCTCTGTTAGGAAAATATGGAACAATAAGATCTGTAATAAAAGATGGAGCTAGGTTGTTGAGAGCTTTGTAGGTTAGAAGTAATATTTTGAATTCTATTCTGGATTTGACAGGGAGCCAATAGAGAGAAACTAAAACTGGAGAGATATGATCTCTCCCAGTAACTCCAGTTAAGACTCTGGCAGCAGCATTTTGGATCAACTGAAGACTTTTTAAAGACGTATTTGGACATCCAGATAATAAACCATTGCAATAGTCCAGTCTAGACGTGACAAATGCATGAACCAGTTTTTCTGCATCATTTTTAGATGTTTCTAATTTTAGTGATATTACGCAGGTGGAAGAAGGCAGTTCTAGTAACGTTTTTAATGTGGGGGGTAAAAGACATGTCCTGATCAAAAATAACACCAAGATTTTTAACATTAGAGCTGGAGGACAGATTAATGTCATCTAAGGAGGGAGAAAGACTGAAAAATTCATTCCTAAGGTGCTCAGGTCCAAAAAACAAAACCTCAGTTTTGTCTGTGTTCAACAGGAGAAAATTAAGGGTCATCCAGGTTTTTATGTCTTTAAGACATGCTGGTAGTCTAAGTAGCTGATTGGATTCATTGGGTTTAATGGACAAATATAATTATGTGTCATCAGCATAACAATGTAAATTTATCCCATGCTGTTTAATAACTTTACCTAATGGAAGCATATATAAAGTAAAGTAATGCAAGGATTTTAACTAATTCATTGTGGAAAGTCGGGTTTAGTAGGGGTTTTAGAAACTGCTCTATTGTTGTTCAATAAATGTGAGCTTTAGCTAAATTGTTCACCCGTGTTCCTTCTACATTTATTCGTACCATTTTTTTAGTTTCCCATCCAAAACATGAAACCCTGAGTGCTTGAATAGAATCATGAATAGTTTCCTCTTGTCCTGCATGTTTTACCTTTCACCCTCAAGTCTTCTTCAATTCTGATTTCAGATCAGGAGTTTCAGACTTAAAAGTCATAATTGACATGAATACAACTTGTATGGGTTCAAATAATAGCCGATCGGGTCTTTCGCTGTTTGGTTATCCTCGTGCAAACTCTTTGGTTTCGACCCGCTCCAGGAATATGAAGCGTTGATTTGAAGCGTGTGTCTCGTGTTTCTCTCATCCTGTGAAGGACAGACTCCAGGATCCCTCTACAGAATGATGCAGGGGAGTTTTCTCTGAGTGAGATTTAAAAAAAACAAGACAACAACTTCAGCAGATTACATTGATGTGTGCTGGAGATTATATAGTTTGCAGTTTTATTCAATCTCTTAGGAGAATTTAGTGTTTTTCTCCTAACGAGGAACATTCTTCATATTAACTGTAATATGAGGCATGTTGTGCAGCGTAATCTACATTTTTGTACTGGGTATACTGTACTTAGAAACCAAAGTACACTGGTTATTACAATGTACTCGTCAATTTATTTAGATTTTTAAGCATATTGAACATTTCAAAATTTCTCTGATGCTTATAAATATACAACAAACTTTCTATAACAGTTGGCTTTCTATTAAAAACATGTAGAATGTATAAAAGAGTATCAAAGCAAAACATGTTCTAGTACTAAGTAGTAAGTACGGAAGTATTAATTGTACAATAATTTACTGGATAAGCGAATGTAATAAACAAGCTACATACAGACAGATTGTTACGGAAGCGTTTAGCTGGTATTTAACGTATCAGTGACACGTGTCTAATGATATGTCATGTATCATTGGGTACTTTTTCATGGGTTTACCGAAATGCTCAAGTTTTTCTAGTGGGCATACTCCGTATACTCACGTATCGCGTAGACTACACCACTGATGTTGTGTAATATTTGACTTTATTTGCATGTATCTGAGTTTGATATAATCTCATCCTTATAAATGTTGTATTTTTTTGAGTCATGTTTAAAGTGCAGTGACAGCTGGTGATGTTAAAACTACAATTCAATCTTTTCTTTGTTCCCCTAAGGTTCATCAAAGAGCTCCTGAACAAAAAGGTAAGGATGTGTAGCCCAGTGGTCTGAAGAAGGCTCAAGAAGAGCCTGATCACGATTGTTTTCTGTTTGTTTCTGTGGGGGTCCTGGTTGGGACAGTACCCTCTGGTGAAGCCGGTGGTGACTCCACGGTTTGCTCCGTCCTGCACCGAGGACCTGCTCTCCAAGCTGGGGGCGATAGCGAAGAATAACAACCTGCACATCCAGGTGAGTTCACCGTGGCAAACAAGAGGACTCTTTCCACCCAGACCAACTCATATTGCAGATGTCTTGGTATCTACCATGGTTGAGTCAGGTCCTCTGTGTCTGACTCAACCATGCCAGATGATATTTCAGATTTTTGACCTTCACTGTCTAAAATTAACCTTTTGTCTTTCCTGGACAGAGTCACATCAGTGAAAACACAGAGGAAGTGAAGCTTGTAATGAAGCAGTTTCCTGACGCCGAGTCGTACACAGACGTCTACCACAAGTGCAATCTTCTCACTGACAAGGTGAGAACTTTAAAACGGCTCTGGGCAAAGAAAGTGACAGATGACATTCATGCAGGCAGAAATTGATAAGACTCGCGCTGTGAATGATTCACAGACAGTGATGGCCCACGGCTGCCACCTCAGTGATAAAGAGCTGGATCTGTTCAGGGAAACAGGAGCCTCTTTGTCCCACTGTCCCAACTCCAACTTCTCGTAAGTCTCTACTCAGAACTGCTACGTGTGTCCAAATTCTCTGAAACATCAATGATGATGATGCAGAATGAAGATTTTAAAACCTACACATGTGATGGTCATTGTTAAGGTCTGACTGTAAAAGATACAACATACTGTACAAATGTTTTAAAAGTTTGCATGAAGGATGTTATTACATGTACTTTAGTGCACGCAGTAGTTAATTTTACTATCTCTTTGTCCATGCAGGTTGTGCAGTGGACTGTTAAATGTTCGAAATGTCCTGAATCACAACGTGAAGTGTGGACTGGGTACAGGTGGGTTTTCTTTCCCACTTTAAAACCTTTGGGATTTACCTTTTGTTGCTGTTTATTTTCTCTAGATAATTAATATAAATCAGAAAAACAATCTTTAAAGAAATAAAACTGTCTTTTCAACACCCAAGTTCACAAAACAAATCAGTTCCCTGTTTGTTTTCTGTTTGCGGTGGTGCGTCAGACGTGGCCGGGGGCTACTCATCCTCTGTGCTCGATGCTGTTAGAAAAACTCTGGATGCCTCCAAAGTCCTGACGATCCAGGACCCGGAACACAACACGCTGTCCTTCGAGGAGGTGTTCAGACTGGCCACACTGGGAGGAAGCCAAGGTGCGACCCCACCACAAACCAGCCGTTACTCCAAAACTGCAAACCTAAATTAATTATACCTTCAGCCACTCCATTAGTCTTGTTGTGTTTATTATACAATGTGTTTTTTTTTTTACTAATTTCCTTAATTTTAAATGAATCTCTGATTATCTGATCAGAATTTGAAGTTGAAGTCTAAACTCGGATGCATTCAGGACACAACAAAGAGACAATGTGTCCTGATTGTTAGGTTAATAAAGACAATAAACTGTATGATGAATCCTATTTTTATGCTACAATACAGGGTTTCTACAACTCGATTTAACATGATTAAGAGTGTAGAAACTCCTAAATATCTGATCTGATCATCATCTTTAAACAAACTGCGGCAGCAGAAATGTTATGTTCAACACTGTTCAGTCAGATCTAGACGGTTTATTTTTTGCTGAGACGTTTTGTCCTCCATCCAAAGAACTTCTTCAGTCTGAGGAGCCACCAAACAAACAGGTTTCCACAAAACAGCAGAGGAAAAAAGCAGTTTGCTGGTGCTAAGATGGCCTCCGGGGCCCGCCCTCTCCCCCATCAAATCCTCTGAGACAATCATGCCAAAGTGGTTCAAAACACCAAAGTTCATGCTCAATAATCCAGGAAAAAAAATCTAACAATGTTCAGTCAGGTCATCTGGATGATTTCTTTTTATGCTGAGACGTTTCATCCTTCATCCATAGGACTTCTTCAATCTGAGGAGCCACAAACAAACTGACTGAAGGCCATCTTAGCACCAGAAAACTGTTTTTTTTCCACTATGGAGCGTGCTGTTTTGTGGAAATCAATTTTTTTGGTGGCTCCTCAGATGGAAGAAGTCCTTTGGATGAAGGACGAAACGTCTCAGCAAAAAAAGAAACCCTCCAGATGACCTGACTGAACATTGTTGGATTTTTTCCCTTGATTATTGAACATGAACTTTGTGTTATCTTGTGTTGTTGTTGTTTTGTCATATAACAGGTCATCTATATAATGAAATGTTCAGGATGAGAAAAACTGATTCGACTTGATAAAAAACAAATAAAATAAAATAAAAAAAAACAAGAAACACTAAATCATACAATTAATGTACAAAATAAGCTATCAAACTGTGAAAATGAAATATATTTACAAGGTTCAAAAGAAATACAGTAAACAACAACATGGTAGAATATAATGGTGCAAGTAGGATGATTTAGTATGAATAAGTATTTCACAGGTTGTAATATAAACTAAAATACGGATGATATATATTGTATATAACTAACATGGGTTCAATAGAAAGAGACAGTTTAAATAATGGCACATCAGCTTTTTGTTATGTTATTTCTGTTCGTAGCCTTATCCATGGATGACCAAATAGGAAACTTCGAAGTGGGAAAAGACTTTGATGCTTTAAGGGTTAATGTGGCAGCTAAAGGTGGACCCATCGATCTGATCCAGTCTGATGCACCAAAGGTACTGAGGCAACATCTTATATTGTTTAAAACACAAATAAATAAAAAGCAGGAACTGCAGGTTTCAGTGCACCAGTAATTTATGATCAATTAAATTTCAGATCCTTTTGGAGAAGTTCTTAAACCTGGGTGAGTTTTATTTTTTAATACTTTTACTCAGACACTTTTCTTGTGTATAGTTTTTTAAATTCGTATGTCGTTTGACAGGTGATGATCGTAACATCGTGGAGGTGTTTGTAGCTGGGAGGAAGATGGTCCCGTTCACAGATGCGAGAGCGTCTGACAAATCTGACTGAGACATGTGCCTCAAATGGGAAAATGAAAAAGTCATGGCTGCATGAACATGCACTTTTGCACAAGCTTGAACACATAGGAGGTTTAGTAGATCCAAACATGGATGTGGAAGATAAACTATGCAATTTAATGGAGGTCAAAAAGACTCGAGATCAGCTGAGCCTGAATTTATTCAGATAGGCTGATTTAAAAAAAAGGCTGTCAGGCTGTTAATTAGGAAATGAGGGACTTATTGGATGCTGTTTGCACTTTTTCAATTAATTGAGGCTGATTATTAGCCAGACACTTGATGTTTCTGCTCTTTATGTCCAAAGTTTAGCTTAAAATTAAGCCCCATTTCCTCTTTGTTCACTTAAACATCAAACATTTCTACTTAAACGTGTTTTAAAGAAACAGGGAGACAAACTTGGATGTCAGATTTTTATAACATTTTCCATCGCATGCACATTTAAATCCTACTAATCTCCAAATGTAGGACTTGGTGCCTCTCGGTGTACTCAGGGAACAGAAGCTGCACTGCCTGACCTGAAACTCTGCAGCATGAAGATCCTTGTGTTGTGAAAACAATGCTCTGTTAGCCAAAGACTGAAGCTGGAATAAATAGTTTTAAGCATAACTAATTCAGATTTTCACAGTACACTCCATACAAATGCAGCCGTTCAAATATTTAAAGCAGAGGAGACACATGACAGCACAGTCTGCTGCACTGTTTCTGAGAAAATGGATTCCTTTCTATATTCATTCAAATAAAATAAATCTTCTATCTAAATGATTCAAAAATCTCAATCCTGATTGTTCTCAGTGCCAACTGACCTCAGTACCTTTAGAAGGGAAGCAGTTCAGGATATTGATCTTATTAAACTCTGCTTAATTTCATATTGTTTATATTTTCAATATAGTTTTTTTCTTTTCAAATTGAGAACTTAGTTTTTTCAGACAAACTTACGTTTTACTAAATATGTTGCTAATTTTGTCACATCGCACTGTATCACAATTATTTTATGGTATAAGTCAAGAACTGTGTATTTTATCATCTGTTACATAATAAAAAATAAATAAATAAAGAACATTAAATCAGTTTGACCTTTTAGCTCAGATGTCATCTGTTATTTATGTCATGTATGTCATTAGCTTTTATGAGCTTTGAGCCCATGTGATGGAGGACAAAAGGGAGCGATATAAACAAACAAATGACCTCTGACCCCTCCGGACCACCACAGCACAGCTTCAAACCCTAAATATTTATCTCCATCTGGGTCAGACAGGTCCGATGATGACAGACATTAGGTCCAGGGAGCCAGGTTTATGCTCTAAATTTATTAATTTATATTTCTGTATGTGCAATACCATAACAGCCATCAGAGGGCAGCACTAGTCATCAAATACACATGACGTGCAGGAATAAAATATGAAGATGTGCCTTCATTGATTACTTTCTGAAAGTTTCTTTAAAATCCGAAGTGTTCATGAAATATTTTGCTAACAGACCAATTATGCATATGACTCTCAGGGAAGAGAGGGAGGCCATTTAGAGGCGGGCACTAGTTTCTTTATTTTGATGTTGTAATTTATGACAAAACAAAAAACAACATTTGTATAGTAAGTACAGCATATGAACTCAGTGTCAGTATTCAATGAAGATATTTAGCTATATTTTAGTCCAGTTTATGAATCACTGATGTATAATTCTGAATAATATCTCCATCCATCCATCCATCCATTTTCTTTACCCGCTTATTCCATTTTTGGGTCACAGGGGTCGCTGGTGCCCATGTCCAGCAATCACTGTGCGAGGGGCGGGGTACACCCTGGACAGGTCGCAAGTCCATCACAGGGCCACATAGAGACAAACGAGACAAACAACCATTCACTCTCTCACTCACACCTAGGGACAATTTAGAGTTACCAATCAGTCTAACATGCATGTTTTTGGTCTGTGGGAGGAAACCGGAGTACCCGGAGAAAACCCACGCATGCACGGAGAGAACATGCAAACTCCACCCAGAAAGGCCCCTGGACCGGGGTTTGAACCAAGGACCTGCTCGCTGAGAGGCAGCAGCTCTACCAGTTGCGCCACCGTGCTGCCCAAATAATATCTCATGTTGCCTAATGTCAATGTCAATGTCAATTTATTTATATAGCACATAAAAACAACAAAAGCTGACCAAAGTGCTTTACAGTTAAGACAATATATATTTTATTATCCTCAGGATAAAAAGATAAAGGGACAAGACAGCCCCTGGTTTACTCCAGAGCTAGCTGACCTCCTGCACAGGAAAGATCATCTTTGGGCCGCAGTGAGAAAATCTGACTCAGACACTGATTGGTTGAGTTTTCAACAGATGAGGAATAAATGCACAACTGCTGTCAAAGCAGCAAAACGCAACTATTTATTATCTCAGACCTCCAAAAATCTAAATGACCCTAACAGTTTCTGGAAAACCATCAAATCTCTCTCAGCCCCCCCCCCCCCCAAATCATCTGACCTCCCATCACAACTTCTCGTTAACTCTGCTCCTGTGTCAAATAAGCACGAGATCCTGAACTGTTTCAACAAACATTTTGTTGCTTCTAGTTCTTTATTTGACACAGTTACTAATGGAAAATCAGCCACTTCACTTAATAACCAAACTTCTACAAATCAAATCCCTCCTACAAGTCAATCCTCAGTTAATCACAGCTTCTCTTTTTCTCCATTCTCAGTCAGTGAGGTCAATAAACTGTTAAAAGATCTTGATCCTAAATAATCTGCAGGTCCAGATGAACTTCCATCTTATTTCTTAAGGCTGGCTGCTCATATCATCACAGTCCCTGTGACCCACATCTTCAATCTCTCCACAAGACAAAACTCCATCCCAGACACTTGGAAAACAGCCTTTGTTCTTCCTTTGCTGAAGGGAGGAGACCCCACCTCACTGAACAACTATTGACCAATCTCTAAACTCTGCATTTTAGCCAAGGTTCTAGAAAAACTGATAAACTCTCAAATCAAAAATTACCTGGACTCATTTAACATCTTACCTCCACATCAATCTGGTTTCAGGAAACAACACAGCACAACCACTGCTTCACTGAAGGTTCTTAATGACGTTGTTGAAGCACTGGATGCTAAGGATTATTGTGCTGCAATTTCTTTAGACCTGTCTAAAGCTTTTGACACTGTGGATCAGAACATCTTGTGTCATAAACTCTCAGAAATTGGTTTCTCAGATCACACCATTGGTTGGTTCTCTAACTATCTCTCAGACAATGTATTCAAGACAATAGTACTTCCTCCAGTTATTTAACAGTCAACAATGGTGTACCACAAGTCTCAGTCTTAGGACCCACCCTCTTTACAATCTACATAGGTAATGCAGGTCAAAACATCCCTGATGCATCCATACATTTCTATGCTGATGACACAGTTGTTTATTGTCGAGCTAAAACAGTTGATAAGGCTCTCCAACTTTTGAAATCTGCATTTAACATCATCCAGTCTGATTTGTTCCACCTCAAACTTGTCCTAAATGCCGACAAAACCAAAAGGATGCTTTTTTCAAATAGGAAGTTGGTCCCAGCAGTTCTTCCTCTGATTTCATCCTCAAATGGTGTCCCCATTGAGTTTGTTGATTCCTATAAATATTTGGGTATCTTGGTCGACTCGCATCTTTCTTTTAAGCTCCATGTGGAAAACCTAGTAAAGAAACTGAAAGTTAAACTGGGTTTCTTTTTCAGAAACAGATCCTGTCTAACCCTGAATGCTAGAAAACGCCTTGTTTCTGTGACCTTCCTTCCCTCCATTGATTACGGTGACATTATTTCCATGAACGTTCCTACAAGAACCCTGCAGATGTTGGATGCTGTCTATCATGGTGCACTAAGATTCATAACTGGCTGTGATTATCGTACCCATCACTGCACCCTGTATTCACTGGTTAACTGGACATCATTAACTTCACGCAGACTCTCTCACTGGTATATTTTCATCTTTAAATCACTTCTTGGTCTGCTGCCTTCATACATCTCCTCCTTAATGTCTCTGCATGAGTGCAGCTACAGCGTGCGCTCTCAGGACATTATTACCTGCAGTGTTCCCTCAGTGAGAACTGAACTTGGCAAAAGGGCCTTCTCCTACTCTGCTCCTGTTTCCTGGAATATCTTACAAAAATATCTGAAGCTCTCGACCTTAACCTCTCTAAGTGGCTTTAAGAATCTGTTGGACTCCTGGCAGGGACCAATGCAGACATGTTCCTGTTTTTAGTTTTCTACATTCGCCTTATAATCTAGCTGCTTTTGTTACTTTTTTGCCATCTTATTTGTAAAAAAAATAAATAAATCTGTAAGCCTTTTTATAACTGTCTGTTGTTGTCGCTGTTGTCCATTGTTGTCATCATTCTTTGTTGAAATCAGGTCTCTCTTGTAAATGAGTCCTCGAGGCTCAATGGGATTTACCTGTCGAAATAAAGATTGAATGAATAATTGTGTACCATAAATCCAGAGTTTGTCGACTTTGAACTAACCCGTTTAAATGCACTTTAAACGCAACTTCAATCTAGAGGGTTATTATCCCAACATCGGGTTTTAAAGGAAGCAGAAGTTACGACTTTCGCTGTGAAATCACCGTTCCTTTCAAGAAAATGTGAAAAAGCTCGTTGTTTAACTTAATGTAGAGCCGAGTCAGTCCATAGAGGAGAAGTGAAGGAGACTACTGTACAGTACGTACTTTAATGTATTCGCCTGCGCAGTCTGCAAGACTAAACTCAGGGCTTACATAATCCATTCATCCTACAAGCGTAAACCCGGAAGTACCCTTGGAAAGTAAAAAACAACAAAGCTGCAGTTTTTTCCTTCAGGCTTTCTGCAAACCAGTCCACCAACAAGAATATTAAATATACAAGGTATGAGTCTTTTTTTTAAATGTCTGTTCTACCCTGCTTTTGTTCTTTTAGCTAACGTGAAACATGCCTGCAAGAATCTGAGCTTTTACAAATAAAAATGTGTTAACTAATAAATGGTCTCCAAAAGCAATGTATACATATAATGCAGTTTTTAATTATAGTTGTAGATAAAAACATGTGATGTAAAAATAGGTGTTTCACTTATTTTGTTACCCTCTAAAAACAAAATAGCTTCAACAGGCTGTTGCTTGTACTACTCATACGAAAACAAGCAAAAAGTTAGTTACACAGATGTAATCAGTTACTAAATTGTACAGGAAAATCAATTAAAAAAAGGTATTTAATTGAAGTGTAATTACTGGTCCCTGAGCAGTAATTAAAAGTAAACAGTAATGTGGTGTTTCCATCATCTGTTTATTGACACTGATACAACTTCCTCTTCAGCCCTGAAACCATCTAAAGTCCCATCATGCCTCTGTTTCGGGCGTCGGGTTGCCAGGCAGGGGTCAAGGCTCAGCCCCAACGGAGACGTCAGAGGGTCAGGAGGGGGACAGGAAGCTGCTGTGTGACTCAGGATGATGACTGTGTCTCTTCTCTGAGACACCTGTGTCTGATGAACCTCGCTGACAACATGAAGGACGTGTGGGTGAAGGACTACACGGACAACTACCTTGATCATTACTTCTTCAGATACATCATGGGGCCCTTCAACTTACTGCGTGAGTCCATGAGGGCTTATTTAACACGTGAATGGCTTTTAACAAACCCATCTATCCATTATCTTTACCCGCTTATTCCATTTTGGGTCACAGGGGTCGCTGGTGCCCATGTCCAGCAATCACTGTGCGAGGGGCGGGGTACACCCTGGACGGGTCGCAAGTCCATCACAGGGCCACACAGAGACAAACGAGACAAACAACCATTCACTCTCTCATTCACACCTAGGGACAATTTAGAGTTACCAATCAGCCTAACATGCATGTTTTTGGTCTGTGGGAGGAAACCTGAGTACCCGGAGAAAACCCACGCATGCACGGAGAGAACATGCAAACTCCACCCAGAAGGGCCCCTGGACTGGGGTTTGAACCAAGGACCTGCTCGCTGAGAGGCAGCAGCTCTACCAGTTGTGCCACCGTGCTGCCTTTTAACAAACCCGTTTGCTCCAATTTTGTTTCTGCTTGTTTGTGCAGAAGAGTAGTTTTATCTGCACCACAAGTCGTTCATGATTATTTTGTTGCAACCAGCTTTATAGTTAAAAGCTGTATTCATAAACGCCGTTTCACTGCCTCACCAACACGCCTACAAACACTGGAAGGGAAATTTTTCCACTTTCAAGTTTCTTTCTGAAACTTCCTCCTGTGAATATTAAACTTGATGAAGCAATGTAATGCTGGCTGTCTCCTCTCTGTCTCTGTTAATCTGCCTGCAGCTGGAGAGCTCGTGGAGGAGCTGACATCGTGGCTGTGTCGTCGAAAGCAGCTGTCTCGACCGGCCCTCCACCTCCTGCTGGTCCCGCAGCTCCGAGGCCTGTCCCTAGAGAAGTGTCCCGGGCTGGCGACCTCGGCCCTCTGCGGCCACATTGCTGCTCGTTGCCAGGTAAAACAGGAATCTCGACTCTGTATCTGTGGTTTGTGCTTATAAACTACTGTTAAATCTGAAAAGTCCTTTTTCTCTTGTGACTGTTTGTATGTTTTAAAAAAAATGGTTTCAATGGGCTTGGGGAAAAAAAATTATTTTATTGCAGGCTGAATTTATTTATTTATTTTTTCATTTTTAAACGTGTATGTCGTTGCTAATGTGAATGAAAAATGAAAAACCACTGTAATGACTACATTTGAAGGTAATGTTTTTGCCAGCATTCCACATCTAATAGACAGCAAACAAAATGGCTATAACTCAGTTGGCTTTACAGCTATTGAGCTACAATTTGATGTAGTCGTAACTGAGAGTCGTTCACAACACATACTTTTAAGTAGAGCTGTCATTTCTAACCCGAAGCCCGGCCCGGACCGACCCAAATTAGGGCCGGTCCGGGCCGTTATAATGTGATTAATGTGCGGGCCGGTCTCGGGCTTTGATGCGGTTTTATGAATCATACAGCACAAATAAACTAAGAATGCACAATGTAAAATTGTGTTAATCTTGTTGAGGAGGAGGCAGTTTGGTCCGACCGGCTGGTTTAAAGAGGTTTAAAAAAGTCGCGTTAAGCTCAGATGAACACCTGGCACCGGTCGTGCGCGTCTGCTGACCCGCTGGTTGAAATGGACTTGCAATCTGTCCAGTGTTTATCCCGCCTTTCGCACAGTGACTGCTGGACATGGGCACCAGTGACCCCCACTACCCGAAAAGGAAGAAGCAGGTAAAGATGATGATGGATGGATGGATGGATGGATGGATGGATGGATGGATGGATGGATGGAT